CAACACACCACACTTCTCTTATATTTGTTCCATAAAAAAATCTTGTTTAGCGCTAGTTTTTTGATAAAGATAGTTACTGATATAGGGTATATGCAAATTCGTTATACAAAACTAGGGGAATGGGCAAAGAGGCGGTCTGCGGGTCGGGGAAACCGGATTGATAAATTTTGTGATTCTAAATTAGACATTAAAATTTACTGCTGCAGATGCTCTAGATGCCATTGTTTAAAAATTATGGGAGCGGTCCACCCCCTGAAGTGGATTTCGGCAGCTTTTTAAAACACCTGTGAAAAAGTAATCAGGCAAAAGATGGCCCTTTAGTCTTCGGGACACTTTTTCAAATTGTATCGCCCTGTAACATAACCACTCACCTATCAGATATTAAACGGGTACATATTATAGCATTATAGACAACGACATTCGTTGCGGAATGGGCGAACTCTCGAATAGCCGGCATGTAGGCTTACTGCGTACCCTGATTAGTACGAATCACACACAATGCGTAGATAAAGGTAACATGCTTACCTCTTTGATTATTGAGAGAAAACCTCGTACCGTTTACCCCCCTTCTCTGTCATCGTAAATCCGCCCACCTAGAAACACGAGCCCCCCCAGGGTGTGATTGCGAGGCTGGCTCGACTGTAGGCATGCAGTTCGTGTCAGGGTCGATTGCTCTCTCTCTATGCTCTCGATCAGAATAAGAAAGCTCAACACCCACGCGTGTCGCACCGGTCGCACATGCGCACCGCACAGCTGATCTACTGTTTTTTTGAATCTACGTCGAAGCCTGGTTGGTGTGCAGGTAGGAGCATCTCGTGCGCATGCGTGCAATCATAGATTAGTTGTCAACGCTGTGAGTCCGCTGCAAATATTCGTTGAGATTTGTTAGTTAGAGATACTTTGTGTTGAAAGACTGCGTGGGGAGTGGTTTCATCGACGTCGTAGGAAAAAGAATGATAGAGCGAAAAAAATAGAAAGAACTACTAACACAGGAATGGATATTTCGCACGCAAATGCAGGTAAGTGTTATTGGTCTGTACAGGCGTCTATGTATCTAGTCGCTGCGTTTGGTGTGCTGTCATGCGATCTCTGTCACCATTAGACACACCATTAGTCTCACCATCCATTACTTAGTCTAACGCGCGCTCTCTCTTTTTTCTCTCTCTCTCGCTCTATTATCTCTATTCTCTCTCTCTCATTCTATCTTCTCTTCTTCATTTCTCTCTCTCTCTCCTACTCATCTCCTCTCGTTTCTGATATCTCTCTCTCTCTCTTCTCTCTCTTCTCTCTCTTCTCTGCTCGTCTCTCTTTTAATATGTCAGGCGCCCGCGGCGTGCGCCTCCGCGCGTGCCGTGTGTGCGGCGTGACACCACAATTGGTGTGTGTGTCGCGAGCTCGACGGGCGTTGTGTGTGTGGTGTGCGCGCCTGACCATGCGATCCTGCGGCTGTGTTGGTGTGTTGTTGTGTGCGCGCCGTGCGCCTCCCCTGTGTGTGTGTGCGCCTCCGGTGTGCGTTGTGGTATTTGTGTGCTCGTGATGTGTGTGTGTGTGGGTCGTGTGTGTGTGTGTGTACGTGCTGGGTGTCAGCGTGTTGGAGTGTGGGTGTACGTGCGTGGGTTGAGAGAATGAGGGAGAGAGAGCAGGAGCTGTTTTGTTGTTAGGCCTATATAAAAGGTATCATTAATCTGCTCCACCGCCCACCACCAGCCACACCACAAGGACAACACACACCCAACACACCACACAGCACACACCACACGCAATATATAACACAACACACACCCCACCCACAGGTTACTCCCCACGCCAAACACGCACAACACAACACCACCACAACACAACGCACACAAACACAAACTAACAATACACATCCACAACACACACACCCACACAACACACACCAACACAACAACACCCACACAACATAAACAATAAACACACACACAACACACACACACACACACACACACACCACCACACCCACACCCCACACACCAGATGAACCACCACAAGCACCACACACACAAACACAAAACACACCACAACAAAAACACACACACACAACATACAACATTACCAACACACACACACACACACCCCCCCCACAACACACCACAACACCACAACCACCCAACACACCACACCACCACAACACCACGCCATATTACACACCCCCCCCACACAACACACACCCCACACACAACACACACACACCCACAACAAAAACTACACAACACACACACACACACACACACACACACACACACACACACACACAAACAAACACACACACACGCACACACACGCGCGCGCACGCACACGCACAAACACACACACGCACGCACACACCCACACGTACGTACGTCACCTACGCGGTAACGAGTTATAAGCATGCATTGACGGGCCAGCTTCGACATGCAGGTGTTTACGAGTGCAGAACGATGACAAGTGTCGGAGCTAAGGACATCGACATTGGTTCTCCGCCAGATTTCAGCATGGGTCATATCCTGCGCGAGTCAGCTGATAACTGTGACAGCCTCGTCTACGGCAATGTAGCGCCGATTACGGTAGGTGACGTAACAACCGTATCTGTGACGTAATACCTGTCTTCGTGACGTAACGCTCGTATCTGTGACGTAACGCCAGTCTCCGTGACGTATAACGGCCGTATCCGTGACATAACGCTCGTATCTGTGACGTAATACCTGTCTCCGTGACGTAACACCCGGCTCTGTGACGTGACACCCGCCATTGTAACGTAACACTGATCTCTGTGGCGTAGTACACAGTCATATAACATCTGTCTCTGTGATATATATATATATATGTATATATATATATATATATATATATACGTGAGACGTGAGTAACGGCATCCATCTTGCTTCGTTATAGTCAGATTCACACTCGGAAAACATACCGCCGCCGCGTCGGCAGCCGACGCAGTGCACCACAGCGCCGCATGCGGCGCCAGTCAGAAAGAGAAAACCGGAAAGGGAAGCGGCGGAGGATGCTGACGACGACGACGACGCCAAGGCAGGATCTAAGAAGGCGCGAAACAAGAAGTCACACGGGAGAAGCCGCACTAGCTTCAGCGCACCTCAGGTAGACAGCAGACATCACAGGAGTAAAAAATAATAATAGTAATAATAATAATAATAAAAAATGGTCTTGAGAAGAACATCAGGGAACTCCCTGGCCACCACACTGAACAGGAAGTGCAGAAAATCGCACTACTGGGAACAGCACACATCCGGCGCAAAATTCTGGATTGAATCCCTATGCCCTAGGTTGGGACACGGCCCAGAAGCCACCGGCTAATGCCGTGATCCACTTTGAATAATAATAATAACAATAATAATAATAATAACAATAACAATAATAATGGTAATAACATAGTAGTAGTTACTGCCTCACTAACATCTCTCGGACTTTCGGTGATGGAATCTCGTGTGTCTATATTTAATTTAACTGCCAATCTACATCTTTGCTCCGTGGATTCAAATATTTTTCTGTCTATGCGAACAGGTCGAGGCTTTAGAGAAGGTATTCGAAATGACGCAATACCCTGACATCGCAGTGATTGAAGGCTTGTCCGACAAGATGCAGCTGCCGCGCTATAAGATAGAGGTGAGAAGGAGAGAGAGACTAGAAGATAGGTGATAGACGATAGAAATATGACGATCAGAAGTGAATAGACTACACTTTATGCGCTATTCATAAGATAGATAGGTCGATGGATGGATGCCGTCCGTCGTCCATCCATCCATCCATCCATCCATCCATCCATCCATCCATCCATCCATCCATACGGATGAATTGATTGATTGATTGATCGATGGAAGGATAGATGGATCCTATCCTGGATGGATATCTAGCTATCTAAGTGGATAGAGACCAATTTGGTTTTATTCACACCTGATAGGTACTACATAGTATTTTGTGCTCTTTATGATAAGTTGTATATATATATATATATTTATATACATATATATATGTATATTCCTTTATGAACAACGTAGCAATTATGCGGTAGCATAAGCGTGTTAGTCGTATAGTTTATATTTTAACCATCGCTGTCTATTCTCTCCTATTTCAGGTTTGGTTTCAGAATCGACGGGCTAAATTCAAGCGACAGAATAAGGACGATCGTAAGATGCTCATGCGCAATCAGATATTTCCGGGAGGCGCCGATCCCACAGGACCTACTTCCGGTGTGCTCAGCAGCTGTCACGTGTTGACGGCGCCGCCATCTTCCCAGAGCGCGCCGCCCGAAAACGAAAACCGTAGAGCACCGACTACAAAGTATGACTTATTTGTACAGGGACGCGCGCACACACACGCGCGTACGCATGCACACACACGCGCGCGCACACACGCACGCACAAACACACACACACACACGCGTACGCACGCACACACACCACGTACACATATCAGCGATAGAAACGTCCGGGTACATGCTTAGTTATACCACAACAACATCTCTGCACAACGACAATGATAACATACTCGCTTATAAATGAGGGTCCACTCCTTTATGTGCGAACCTGCATGAGTATGCACGTCCTAACTGTGCACACAGCGAAAGAGAGAGAGAGAGAGAGAGAGAGAGAGAGAGAGAGAGAGAGAGAGAGAGAGAGAGAGAGAGAGAGAGAGAGAGAGAGAGAGAGAGAGAGAGAGAGAGAGAGAGAGAGAGAGAGAGAGAGAGAGAGAGAGAGAGAGAGAGAGAGAGAGAGAGAGAGAGAGAGAGAGAGAGAGAGAGAGAGAGAGAGAGAGAGAGAGAGAGAGAGAGAGAGAGAGAGAG